TATTGATCTTAGCAAAGCATTTGATACTGTTGATGATTATATTCTCCTAAATAAACTAGAAAATTATGGGATTAAAAATTCGAATATTAAATGTTTTCAAAGTTATTTGTCAAATAGGAAACAATACATTTCTTTTAGCTGTTTTTTAGGACCACTCTTATTTTTAATTTATATTAATGACTTAAGCAAATTTTGTAACTTATTAGACGCTATTTTATTTACTGATGATACAAATTTGTTTCACGCTCACCATGATATAAAAATATTGTTTAACTCAGTTAACATGGAACTCCTAAAACTTACTGAATGGCTTAATGCAAATAAATTATCAATTAATTTAACTAAAACAAAGTATACATTTTTCCATCGCTTTCATGAACGCGATAAAATCCCCATAAAACTTCCAATACTTTGTATTGGTAGTCAAGCTATAAAAAGAGAACAATCGTTAAAATTTCTAGGCGTACTCCTTGATGAAAACTTTGAAAGATCATATACATTATCTTGAAGGTAAAATCTCAAGAAATATAGGACTACTTTATAAGGCCAGGCCTTTACTAAATCAAACTTGTTTAAAACTGTTATATTTCTCCTTTATTCATTGTTATCTGAATTACGCAAACATAGCTTGATGTAGCACAAATCAAAACAAAATTAAAAAACTCTTTAATGAGCAACAACATGCAGAATATCTAATGTAGACCATTTTACACACTCCAAAGAAGTATTTATAAAGCTAAATATACTCACCGTCTACCAAATAAACATTTATCATCTTTTAATTTTTATGTTCAAAGTTAATTCAAAAATAACACTTAACATTTTTAATTCGTTATTTATAATAAATAAGAATAGATACTTAACCAGATACTCAAGTAACACTTATATAAAGCCTAACAGTTTTTTTTGCAGTAACGGAGTTTTCAATATCTATTAGAGGGCCAAAAGTATGGAATAAATTTATATCTTATAACTTAAAACTCATGAAACTCTTAACGAATACAATGCAAAATTGAAACAAATGCTTCCGGCTAGTGACGGAATGCATGACTTCTTCTTACGTTATCTGGTAGTACAGATAAGCTTTTTCAATTTATTATATATATATATATATATATATATATATATATATATATATATATATATATATATATATATATATATATATATATATATATATATATATATATATATATATTTATATTTATGGAGAGATTCAGATCCAAATCGACTTTACTTTTGATAAATAATATTAATTAGTATTTAATCTTAATTAATTATCTTTAATTATTTATCCTTTTATTAAATATCTTTTTACCTTAAAAGAGTTAAACCAACATTTTATTTTTTCTAATTTGTAACTTCTTCTTTGACTATTTCAAAAGAATTTTTTTCACAATTTATATGTTGCAAAATTTTATTTTTTATGTATTTATTACTCTTTTTATATATTTTTACTATTTTTATATATTATTACCAGAAAATCTTATTTCTTATATACTGGTTACAATTTTATATGCTGTAAGTAATAATTTTTATTTTACAGTCAATTCTCGGGGCTTGGTGAAAAGACAAATTGTGTCTTCTTCTTGCTCCGGCCATCTGTATTTATACTGAAATATTGATCGTATGTATATATACTTATATGGCAAAAAACAAACAAACAAAAAAGCAGTTATTTTACCTCGCCCCCGTTAAACATTCTAAAACCGAGTGCGCAACAACAATAGAATTTAGATAACCATCAAAATAGTGTTATACTCCATTATTTTTTGGCTTTATATACCTTTTGGCTGATCCCTAATCTTAATTTTGTAAATAAGGGATCGTCCATAAATTATGCAACGCTAAATTCCACTAATAAACAAAAAAATTAAAGATTTTCCTCGCACAGTCGTATGTTCAATAAAAAATCAAAATAGCTCCATTAAGTTTATTGAAAATCGCCACCTAAAAGAACAGAAGATCTCCTTCTTCTTTTTAAAAATAAATTTAGCATTGCGTAATTTATGGTCAATCCCATAACGTTTTATAGTCTTTAGTTTTTAATGGCCTAAGATCTTCTTAGTTCTGCTATTTGGATAGCGATGCATACAAACATCTGTAAGTGTAAACGTCTTTAGCTTGCATGTTGAGTTTGCAGGCAATATATGGAACAATCGGGTACAATAAATTCATAAAAATGAGAAAATTTTTAAATTTTATTTTAACAATTAGAAATCTTTTTTGCTATATTAATATTTTTTTTGCAATAAATATTGCTATATTTATTATAGATATATACTATTATAAAATTTTTGCCAGAAATATTGCTATACATACAGCAAGATTGAAAAATTTTAATCTAGGTGTATTTGTCTTTAATCCTCCAAAACGACACTGATGACAGCGCACTAAACCACTGAGCTATCAATGATATGTGGTTAAGAGAAAAAAAAAATGCTGAAAGGCTGTGTATGTTAATTTTTTTGCTCTTAAAGCAATTTTTTAAAATAAGTTATTTTACGTAAAAATATTATAGTAAACAAATAATTGGTAAAGAAATGATCGGTGCGGAATAAAGAAATATAGAAATGGTAGATTTGATAATGCCCCGTATTTTATGGGTCCGGAAAGCTAGGATATATATATATATATATATATATATATATATATATATATATATATATATATATATATATATATATATATATATATATATATATATATATATATATATATATATATATATATATATATATATATATATATATATATATATATATATATATATATATATAAAGAAAAAAGTATAGAAAAGGTCAGCGTAGAATAGACTTACAAAGACCCGTATTTTTACGGGTCAGATCTGATATATGAGATTTTTATAAATTCTTCAAATTAAAGCTTTTATTTATCAGAATTATTTTCGATATTAATTTTGTTCATACACATTATAATAATGACTAAAGCTAGACCATCAAGCATATGTACGCACGGGAAGGAGGGAGGGTTTAAAAATGTACGAGATGCAACAGGGCGAGGGGGTCTGAATCTGAAGATGAGTACGTAATATATGGATGTTCCTTTTTTAGAAAATAAGGAAACTTGTTTATTTATTCCCTCTAAAAAAAATTGAGTTTTTTCAAACAGCATTTTGGAATCAAGCTTGCCAAAATGGTAAAGTTTTGAAAAAATATTGCGGTCTTCCATAAAGTGACACTAACGTTTTACGTTAGTGTCACTTAATCGAAGACCACAATAAAGTTAGAGGTGCGTTTAAACTCTTAAAGTTGCTAACGCACCACAGTGGGTCAGATTGCCCATTTTTACGCCAAAATTGTTTTTTTATTAAATATTACTAAATTAGCTTTAAATAACATATCTGGAGCTTCTAAATATATTTTTGATAAAATGAAAAAAAATTTTAATTGTTATAAATAATAAATAAATAATAAATAAAAAAATAATAATTTTCAACTTATAAAACAATTAAAAATTTTTTTCTTTCAATTAAAAATATATTATTATGAAATATTTTTTGAACTATTTTCAACTAGACTTATATTCTTCGATAAATTTTTAAATTTCATAGTATAATTTCTCAGCGTTCAAAAACTATGACCATATAAAATTTGCAACCCCCTCAAAATGAGGGGGTTTAAACTTCATATGGTCATATTTTTTAAACGCTAAAATATTTTTCTATGAAAATTAAAAATTTATCGGGGAATATAAGCCTAGTTGAAAATAGTTCAAAAAATATTTTATCAGTTTGTTGCTTTCACGTTTGGGGCAGGGGTAAGGGACTAAAATTTAGGGGTTTTTTTTTCTTCCCCAGGCTCCAATCATCGCAATTTTTTGCGAAGCATCCTTATTTGACATAAGCATAAACATATAAATGTTTGAAGTTAGCTCCATGTCTGGAAGTTAGATATCTCGAAGACCAAAAAATGCTGGCGCTACCTCTGCTGTTATCTAAAATTTATTTTTTAGACAAGATGGTAATTTGTTGAAGCTCAAACCAATATTAAAATATCATATATATACTTAATAAAAATTTTAAAGTATTTTCAGACAGGAGGATTTTGGAGGTTTTTTAAATTAACTAAAGAAAGTAAAAATTTGCACTCAAAAAACATACAAAAATCAACATCAACTTCAAAGTTAAATAAAATTTCTTACTTACAAGCAAAAAACTTGCAGCGAAGTTCTGTTGTTTAAAAAAAGATAAATCTATCAATATATAAAAAAAATAATAGCGCATATATTTTAATTTATAAAACAATTTACAATTTATGTGGAGTAACTTATATTTTTAATTAATTTTTGTTTTGAAATTTATAAATCGGAAAAAAAATTTCATCTTCAACAGGTCGTATAAACTTTAATTTAAAAGCTAATGATAAATATCATTTTATTAAAGCTTTATAAGTATGGAAAACAAATATTACCATTAGACCTACATTAAACACAATTTTTTTAAATTTTGCGCACAGTGGGTCACACCTCTAACTTTACGCAAATGCTGTAAAACGTTTGTATATAGCGCATACTTATAAAAATTGCTTACGAGTTTTGCAACAGTTGTGGAAGTTAAGTAAATGATTAAGCATCCTGACAGATTTTGCAATGGGAGAGAAATTTTAAAACAACATTTAATAAAATAATCAGTTAAAAATCAGTTCAAATAAAAAATCTATTCAATATTATATATGTATATATATAGCATCTTAAATAAAAAAACCCACTCTATTCATAAAATACACATTTGAATCGTAAAAACGAGTGGCACTCAGTTACATAAATAATATCTAAACAAATTATTCGCAAATTAAAAAATCAATACAAAGGGTTTACCCTGTCCGTGAAAAAGGTACAAAATTCAAGAACCTTTACGTACGTGAGCAAGTACTTTTTGAATAAGGATCCCACACACGTTCAAACATTCTAGCGTTTTTTCAAACTTTATTTTTTTATTATAAAAAAGTCACTCTTTACCAAAATAAATATAAAGTGTTAAAACTATAAAAATTATTTTAAAAAACAAAAAAACAGATCGAATTTTTAAATTTTGTTGTCCCCTACTTTGTTCTTTTGTCTGTCTTTATTCAAACTGAACAGCTTGTTAAATAAACCAAGAGCACACTTTGTTTTGTAGACAGCCAAGTTTTGACATCGCTTAATAGATTCGAGTCTAACTATAGTTTAATAGGCAATGCCATTGAGATATTTTTAATGTGTTTTAAAAAGTAAAAACTTAATATTTCCCTAGCTGTTGCCTTTTACGCCAAAAGGTATAGTTATTAATTTTATGTTCATCTGCTTGCCTTCTGATTCCTTCATATAATTCGACTTTTCTCATAACTGACTGTGTTCGACGTTGTAATCGCTTCAACTCTTCTTCTACTTAATTTAAAAAATTTCACTACAATTAGCATTGATTATGTGAGATAAAATGTAAAAGAAATTAATCGTAAATTAATGACACGTTTTTATTTTTTTTAAACAAATTTAAGTGAGAAATTTATACTTACTTTCATTATCTTTATCCGAATTACTAACGTGACACACAGCAGCGTTACCTCTATAATCATAACCAGCAAAAGAACTGGATAATCGTGAAGGTGTAAAAACATTTTTTTCATTGCCGTTTCCTAACATTTCGTTACTTTTATGACGAACAGGAAACTTTCGTCTTATAGATCTATTTTGAACAGGAGACTCTTTTTCTTGAAACTCTGTTTCAGAGCTTCTACTCATATCATCCTCAATCGCTTTAGCTATAATTTCTTTGACTTTGTTATGCTTAGAGATTATGCACGGAGAAGGTGGTGATATATTAGGTGTTAAACTGGGCGGTGTTAGATCAGTAGGTTGTGTTGGTTGACTATCAGTAGTCAAGTCATAATCACTTTTTGAAATGTTTTTATATTTTTTATCAGAGTCTTTATTGACATCAGTCGATTTAGATTTAAAAAAACGGTTTCTAAATGAACTACTACGTCTCACTGAGTTACTCTTTTTTAATTCTTTACTAGAGTTTGGTTTTAATGAAGCAAATAATTTTAAGGAACTACTTCGCTTGACTGGTTTTTTTTTCTTATCTTCGTGATTCAAAAAAGGTTGGTTATCCTTTTCAGGTTTTTCACATAATGTTTCTAGATTCCTTATAGGTTTATGGTCTAGGGTATGAACAAGATCATCATCATCTGATTTACCCATGTCATCAAGTGGCTCTTCATCAAAGCTACTTTCAAGAATTTCGCATCTTGTTCTAGGATCAAAATTTTCAAACCTTTTTCGAAAATGTTTTGATTCTTCAGTATTGTCTGAAATATTTTGGGCAATTTCCAAACTAATTCCGCTTCCAATGCTCATATCCCGTTTTAGAGTATTATTCGAATCAACACCATAGGAACGCTGTAGGGTACCAGATTGACTCACTGAATCACTTGGATTGACATTAAGAACATCATTTGATCCTTCTCCAATATGTGAATCTCCCTTAAAAGATATTTCTGAAAGTTTATCAAGAAGTTTTCCTTCAGAATTATGAAAACTTCTTCCTATAGGTTTAAATCCTTCGTGTACAGAGGAATGATTTTTTGCTGAAATTCCTTGAACATGCGCATGAACAATATGAAATATAGAATCACCATCCAATGTATCAAATGTATAAACCCCTTTACCATGCTTACATTTTTCACTAGCTTCAAAAGAAAATTTAGTGCGCCCTCTGCCGTATCTCCGCAAAAACTGAATTGGCCATTCACATATAACACATTGCGATGGTATGTCAATAAGAAGCAAACTTAAAGGAGTAACTTGAAGCAAATATTTACCATTCATGCCAGCCTTTTGAGAGGCGATTGTAGCTCTAATTGAAACAGGATACGTGCAGCCTAAAATTGAAAAAATTATGCAAAATTGAAAGGCACTGCAAATTTAAGAAAACCCTAAGAAAACTTGAAAAATTTATACAGTTAATTAGTAATTTAAAAAAGCTATCAATAACTTGATTATTTTAAAAAGGTGACTTTAGCCATTTTCAAAATAAACGTCTCAATAAGTCAAAAAAATATATATATACATATTTAGTTAAGATATGACATGAAAAAAAAATGTTAAAGCTATAAGATCGAAATTAAAAATATTCAAAAACTATAAAACACAAAAAAACCATCATCAAGTTTTCTAAACCTATCATTCACTAATATTTGTAGGTCTTCGAAGTAACTTCTTCTGTTGAGTCTTATCTCATTCAAAATTCACCAAACCTACTTGCTCTTTGTGAGACTAATTTGAGTTCTGCTATCTCGTCTTGTGATCTTAGTATTGATGGTTCCTTTAATTTGTAAAGACTCCAATAGTCTCATGTTTGGCCTGGGCAGTTACATTCGTAAAAATTCACCTACTTTTCGTGAAACTAGGTTTGAATCCACAGACTATTTTTAAATGTGCTTTCGTTTAGGGCCACTTCAATCTATCACTTTTCTCTTTGTTCTATATCGCTCTCCTTTATTTCAAGGCTGCACTCTTTTCGATGTTATTTCTGATCAAATTGACCAAGCTCTTTCTTTTTATCCTTCAGCCAATATCGTTGTTGTAGGTGACTTTAATACTCATCACACTGAATGGCTTGGTTCTGGTGTCAGCAACTCTGCAGGTGTTAAGGCCCAAAACATTTGCCTTTTTCAATCTCAACACAAATAGTAAACTTTCCAACTTGCTTTCCAGACAATCCGAATCATTTACATTCTCTATTCAACTTATGTCTTGTTTCTGATCCTAGTCAGTGCTCAGTTTCTCCACATTCACCCTTAGGTGCTTCTGATAACGGTTTGATCTTTCTAAAACTATTATCTCATTCATCTTCATCATCATAATCCTTTATCCTTGTACCTCTTACAACTACCTTAAAGCTGCCTGGGGCTCTTTCTGTGATTTTCTTCATGATGGCCATTGGTTAGAAATTTTTCTGCTGATAAATGTGCTTCTTATCTAACTTCTTGGATTCAGGCTGGCATAGAACTTTTTATTCGCCCTCAACAATTCCAAGTAAAGCCTCATTCTTCTCGGCAGATTTTCTCTTATTGTGCTTCTACGATTTCCAATCATAACCATTACTTCCATATCTATCGTCATAACAATTCTCCATTGCTTTTTATCATGACAAGAATAAATGTTAGTATCATTAGCGAACAATGCCACCTTAGATGTGAGAATATCTGGAAGATTGTTAATGTAAATTAAATAGAGTATAGGGCCAAGGATTGAACCTTGAGGAACCCCTGAGGTTACAGAATAAGAAGAAGAGTGCTGTCCATCAAGGACAACTTTTATACTACGATTGGAAAGGAAGGATTCAATAATCTTAAAGATGTTTCCAGATATACCGTAAGTTGATAGCTTATGGAGAAGACCAGCATGCCAAACTTTATCAAACGCTTTAGAAATTTCAAGAGCGATGACCTTAACCTCTCCACCTTTATTTAATGCACGATAAAACCTATCGGTTATTACTGCTAGCAAATCAGCACTTGAATGAGAAGATTAAAATCCATATTGATGATCAGAAAGTAATTTATTAGATTCAAGATTAGAGATTAAGTGTTTGTTAATTGAAGATTCAAAAACCTTGCTTATGATAGGAAGACTAATGGGACAGTAGTTAGACGAATCAGATCGCTCTCCAGAATTTTTAAAAATAGGGATAACAGATGCTGCTTGCCAGCAGGCTAGAAAACAAGACTGATAAGCACTTGTTGAATAGTTTTAAAAAGATAGATGACAGCTCCGGAGAACACTTCTGCAAGACTATAACAGGTATTTTGTCCGGGCCACAAGCTATAGAAGAGTCTAAGCAGGAAATCACTTTAGATACAGAAGCTGGAGTGATATGAATGTCAAGCAATGGATCAACCTGTTTGATGGGTATATCAGATAGAATTTAAGTGGAATCTTATATATATATATATATATATATATATATAAATATATATATATATATATATATATATATATATATATATATATATATATATAAAAAATAAAAAAAATTGTTTTATAAATACCAATATGAACTAAAATATACAAGAAATACATAACCAGTCAAAAATTTGTAAAACAAAAAACAATTCAACAAATTAAAAATATGCTAACAACAATGAAAGGACTAATAATGGGAAAAAAAAAAAAAAAAAAAAAAACATTAATGCTAATGTGTAAACATAATTAGTGTAGTGATAAGTAATAAACATCTCCTCAGAGTCGCGTCTATTATTACTGGCGTTTCGATGAGGAGCATTTATAACTAGTTTATCCCATCAGTTAAAGTTTATTTAATTAAAATACTTTGTAGTAGTGTATTTTTTGAAAAAAAAAAATATATATATATTTTTAATAATAAATGTTATGAGAATAAAAGATTTACTTTAGTTTAAATATAAAGAATTAATAGATAAAAGATTTACACCTGAATTCATTTCAAGTCAGCATCTTTTATTTTAAATACAACAATTTTATATTCGATAAACAATTATTTCACCAAACAACTGGTACAGCCATGGGTACAGATTTCAGGCCAGATTATGTTTGTCTTACTATCGGGTTTCTAGAAGAGACTAAGCTTTTTCCAATAATCTTACCTCAGTATTTTTCAAACCGTGAAGTAGATTATATAAAAAAATTTTATTTTAGATATATTGATGATGTTTTATATTCTGGCCTAAACATCTTGACATCATAAACTTTAAAATTTCTCTTACTGAATTAAATGAATCAATTAGTTTTACAACCGATTTTGGCAAAAAGTTTTATAAAAATGATAACACCTACAGTGTAATTAACTTTTTAGACATCGCTGCTACTCTTGAAAATTACAAACTATAACAGCCATCATCCATTACACATCAAAAAGAATATTCCTTATAATTTAGCTAAAAGAATAATTGTTTTCACATCTAATTACGAAATTGAAAAACTTCGTCTAGCTGAACTAAAGTCATGGTTGAAAGATTGTGAATATCCTGATGTAATTATAGATAAAGCATTCCATAACACAAAACTACAAGGACCAGCGCCACAAAAGAAGTCTAAAGAAATATTTTCTTTAGTGACAACATTCTATTGTAATCTCAATTGTCAACCTTTAATCTCAGAAGCAAACGTTTTACTCAAAGTATCTCAGAATGAAAGAGTCAAAAATGTTTTTTCTAATATTCATCCGGTATTAGCTTTTAGACACCCTCCTAACTTACTAAGAAGACTTACTTCTTCAAAAGTTAAAGCAAATAAGAAGATTAGCATATTTAAATGCAAAGACATTCGGTGTAAAATATGCAAACTCTGCCTTCAAGAAGTAGATGAGTTTGAAACTTCTAACAGTACTATCTGGAAAATAAAAAGTCACACAACATACAACAGCAAAAAAAAAAAAAAAAAAAAAAAAAAATATATATATATATATATATATATATATATATATATATATATATATATATAATATATATATATATAAATATATATATATTTATATATACATATATATATATATGTATATATATATATATATATATATATATATATATATATATAAAATATATATATATATATATATATATATATATATATATAATATATATATATATATATAAATATATATATATATATATATATATATATATATATATATTCAAATTTATTTATTTAGTCCCAAGATATAAAGATGCATTTTATTGTCAATAATTTTTCAATGAATATAACAGATTTCAAAAATTGTATTATAAGGTTCTCACTGCTTTGCAATAATAACAATAAGAAGAATTTTTCCAAATACCACCTAAGTAAATAAGTGCCATGCTTCACTAATGGTTTGCAAGCACTGGTTTATTATGGATACCTTAAATTCAGATCAAATGCATTCTTATATGGATAAAATAGAAATATAGATCATGAAGTGAGTCTTTTTGAAAATATTACAGTAACTGATAATCATGTGATAATATTTAACTTATTAGTCAAATTGGCTAATGAGATAAACACTAATTAAGCTAAACTTTTTAAGAATTATTTTTAAGAATTTCAGTTTGTAAATGATCTCCTATTTTTATTTAAAAAATAAAAAAATAGGAGATCATTTACAAACTGAATTTTATTATTAAATAATTTATTAGTTAAATTTATTATTTATTATTACAATTAATTTATCAGTTAATTTTAGAATTATGTAATTTATGGAAAATCCCTAAATTCACAATAGTAATATAATACGTATATACATGAAATAAAAAAGAAAATATTAATTTTAAACCTTCAGTTATAGTCGAAGTCATACTTGATGCATCATCAAAACCAGATTCAAATGAAACAAGACTAGATAGCTCCGAACCCACAGATGACACTTTATTTATTTTACGAGTCTCTTTATTTTCTTTGATTAATAGATCACCTAATGTAATCAATAAAATAAACTTTAAAAAAAAATTAAATAAATTCAAATTTTCTTTTCTTTTTTTATTTTCTCTGAAAAACCTTTTACTTTTTTATTTAATAACTGTGAAATCATAGACATTTTATCAAAACATATTATTAGTATTTTTTTATGTGATAGTTGAAACTTTTAAAACTTAGGATTTTAAATTTTGACTGCATCAAAAACTTCTTCTGATACTGAAGATATTGTGTAATACCTGAAGATATTGTGTAATACCTAAAGATATTGTGTAATACCTGAAGATATTGTGTAATACCTGAAGATATTGTGTAACACCAAATCTGTTTATGCATATAATTTTTAATTTCAAAAAACTTTTTACTGTTTCTTATTTAATGCATCCATTCCAATTCAGTTGTTTTGTTTTAATTTATAAAAGGGTTTTTTAATTTTTTGCTTTTTTTTGAAAAGTTAGTCAAAAAAAAATAACCTAAAAAAAATAAATAATTTTTTTAAGTTCTATTTTCAAAATAATAAATAAATAATAAAATTGTTCAATAGAAAATAAAGAGTAAAGCCTAATTTTTCAAATAATATATTGATCAATATCCGGTCACATATCCTTGGACTTCTATGCATTTTTGAACACAACGGTTCATACTGTCAACTAATGACTTAAATAATCCAAGGAATTGCAACCTCTAAACCATCTAAATTTTTTGGTATTTTCTTTTCTGCTGCTTTTTTCATTAACCCCCACACATTTCCAATAGGGTTTAGATCCCGTGAATTAGCGGGGCAAGAAGAAACTTTTCATTTATGTTCTGTAAACCACACAGAAACTGATTTTGAAGTGTGGCATGTCACCCCATCTTGTTGAAATGTAAAACTCTTTGGGAAAAGATTTTTTAGAGTTGGCTCAGCTTCAGAAAGTATTTCTTTGTATTTTTCATTATTCACAGTGTCCTTGATTATAAGCAATGATGTTTTAACTTTAGAACTAATCACCCCCCAAACCATAAGACTCTGTTTGAACTTTAGTTTGCCAATTCTTAGTTGTTTCTTTGCCCATCGACCTTCTCGAGTTCTACGCTTATTCTTTGTTATAAAAAAAAATTATTATATGAAATTTTCGATTGACCCTAGTAATTATAGTATCCAAATGTTGTATGTGACAACACCACTACAAGCAACGATAATTGTTACACTATGAAGATGGCCATACTGTGAATATATTTTCTTTTTGTAGTTCCTGGTGCTTTTTTTCTTTAGGCCTAAATTTTCTGTGTTTAACAACTCTTTGCTTATATACTAAGCCTAATAATGACTTCTTTCATGAGTCTCGCTGGTCTATCAGGAATTTATCTTCATTTATCTTGATGTGATAATCTTATTCACCATGGGCAATGCCAAAAAGTGCATTCTAGGTGGCGAATTTTTGTTTATTGAGATGTTTATGACAGACCTCAAATACTTTGAAGTCAGCGGTTAGATCAGCATTGCTGAATACCAATCTAAATTCCAAAGGCTGATATATATATACATGCTTTGATATCTATAAATAATTACCTGAGTCTACTTCATGGGAAACTTCAGGAACAGTATGAAGTGATCGTGGTGAATTATCAATTTCTTCTTTTGTAGTTCTACTTAAACTATGATACCCAATATCATGTTCTGATGATAACTTTTTCACAACCTTTAAAAAAACATAACAAAACTTATTTATAATATCATGCTCTGATGATAAACTTTTTACACTCTTTACAATCTTTAGGAAAAAACTTTTTACAATCTTTAGAAAAACATATCAAAACTTATTTATAGTACTTTTCTCTTTAAAAAGCTTATAATAAAACAAATATAAAAAATATATAACAAGAGTGTCACATTAAATTTATAATGAGCCTAGTTTAAACTTTATTTATTATTTAATTGCATGGAAATGTTTGCAAATACAACAAATTGTTTATGAATTTCTCATATTTTGTGCTAAAGCAATATTTTATTAACTTCAATTAAAGAATGAATAAAGTTTTTGTCGTGCTAATAGTGAAAATTTTAAATACAAATTTGGTTAGTATGCACTCTCATTCATTAAGAAAGCATGTGTTTTTACAAACTTATTTTTTTTATTTCCTTTTTAACCCTAATAAATATAAAATAAAAATATACAGTAGTGTGCAAAAAATTAAGGCCACCTTTAAAAAACAACAAATTATCACTTTTTCATTGTCTTTGAATGACGTCGTCAAAATGTGTTGTATTGCGTGGTCAAATTTTGTTATCAACACAAAGCACATTAAGCAGTTTCCATTTCATAACAATATTGTTTGATTTTTTTAGGCATTTGAAGTATAACTTGATGCATTTTTAACATGGGAAGAAAATCGGATATTTCATGTTTTATTAAAGGACAAATTAATGCACTGCATGTAGTAGGACAAAGTCAGCGTGCTATATCAAGACAGTTAAAGATTTCAGGATGTGCTGTTCAAAATGCATTAAAGAAGGAGACAGGTGGGCCTTTAAATTGCGGCCGTCCCCGCAAAACAACCAGTCGTGAGGATCGATATATGAAAGCTGCAGTAGTATGTAGTCCGACTGCATCCTCTGCTTGCATAGCTCAAGCACTTCGTGAGAAAGGGACAGTTATTAACTCTTGCACAGTCAGACGACGCTTAACTACAGATTTCAAACTATTTGGAAGACGACCAGCAAAAAAAATGTTATTGACAAAGGTACAATTGGCAAAAAGGATCAAGTTCTGTAAGGCCTTTAAAGGTAAACCTGTGGAATGGTGGGACACAGTAATGTTTAGTGATGAAAGCACATTCCAGCAGGTCAGGGGATCAGGTTACAATTATGTAAGACGTTCAGCTGGACAGCACATGAATCCAAAGTATATGCTGAAAACAATTAAGCACCCCCCAAGTGTTATGGTTTGGGGGTGTATCTCCAGTCAAGGATGTGGGTCCCTTGAGCTTATGGATGGCACAACCAGACTGAATACTCAGTCGTATATTGATATTTTAAACAGAAAGTTAAAGGTACACATGAATATTTCAAATACTACAATATTCCAACAAGATTCGGCACCATGCCATGTTGCTAAGACAACACAGAACTGGTTTACAACAAATGGCTTATGACCTTGAACAACTGGCCATCAAGTTCACTGGACTTAAACGTAATATAAAATTGCCAGAATTTAATAAAAAAGAAAGTTGCGGCACACCAACCCAAGTCAGTAGAGGATCTGAAACATATTGTGAAGGACGTTTGGGTGAAGGAAATTACGTCTGATTATTGTAAAACTCTGGTTCGTAGCATGCCTGCACGTATTGATGCAGTGTTGAAAAACTGTGGTTTTCCAACCAAATATTAGTGCTTAGACTGATAAATAACAAGGACTATAACTATTTTATAAAGTATGTGTGACACATACTTTATAAAATAGTTATAAAATATGACCTATTAAAAACAATATGACATAATGTTCAAATAGTATAAAAATTTATATATATTATATACTAATATAAAAATATATATGTATATATAAAATAAAGAAAGTAAAATTAAACAAATGTTTAAAATTATTGATATTGTTAAGTTCTGGTTCATCATATATAATAAAAAAAACTTTTAGTTTTAACTGGTATTTAATATGTGCCTCGTAAAGAAAAATATTTAATAAAAAACTTTTAAAACTTTTAATATTTTTAATAAATAAAAAATTTTAATATAGTAATTTTATTTGTAAACAAAAGGTTAAAAATTTAATTTTATGAATAAAAATCTTATATGAAACAAAAATATTCTAAAGTTTCTTGATATTAGGGCCCTGCAAAAGCTTGAAAACTTCGAATCAAATCGAATCAAAAATATGATTCGAGATACGATTCAAAAATTTTCGAAAATCGAATCCTTACTTATTTTGTTTTTGTTGTGGGTATTTTAGATATTCTGCACTTTGGCGCTATCAAAATAACGTTACTTATCCTTAAATACCTTTTTAATCAGTCATTAAAAAGGTTAACCATGGCAAGAAGCATCAATAAAGAGATTATACAATTGTTTTATTTTATTATATATTATTATTGAAATATATATTATTAAACAAAAAATGCCTAAATTTAGACTTCAAAATGTTCATTCGAAACATGATTTGAATCGCGAATCAACACCTGGTTTGATTCAAGATTCAATTAGAAACAAAAACTGCGGATTTGCAGGGCCCTACTTGATATATTAAAAATATAAACCAACAAAAATGTTGCTCTATATGGCTGCCATATGCTGCCTAACATGATCAGCATGCAATATGTTGCTTAATCATTCAGCTTGTGCATTTGTTTTTCAGTGAACTAACAAAAATATTTTAAAAAAATCTTTTACTTGTACTAAACTGCTTTTAGATGAATTTCCAAATATTATTTCACACATATCTTTAAACCAAAGTTTTTGTTCTTCTTTTGATTGAGCTGCTAGATGTATGGTTCGATCTGGAATAACTATCTCTATAACATGATTATATTCTTTGTTCCATACAAGTTTAATACTCACACAGTTTGAAAGTGAGATTACACGCTTGCTTTTTTCTTGTTGCCAAAACTTTTCTGAATCATAGTACTCAATTCTAACTCTGCCATGTTCACTATTATCATAAAGAACAAACCAACGACTCTGCCATTTTTGCTAAAATAAATAACAATAAAAAATAATAACTACTAATAATAGTAAAAATTACAACAATAAATAAATATAAAGCAATTATATTTATATAAAAAATTATATTTTATTTTTATTTTATCATTAACCATGCAGAATAAACTACAAGAAAACAAGTAAAACAGTCTAATAAAAATACAAAAAAACAAGTAAAACAGTCTAATAAAAATACAAGAAAACAAGTATAACAGTCTAATAAAAATACAAGAAAACAAGTAAAACAGTCTAATAAAAATACAAGAAAACAAGTAAAACAGTCTAATAAAAATAACAATAAAACAAGTAAAACAGTCTAATGAAAACAAGTAAAACAGTCTAATAAAAATACAAGAAAACAAGTAAAACAGTCTAATAAAAATAACAATGAATTAGTACTAAAATTCAGTATTTTGCTGAACATTGCAAAATCTGAGAAGAGATTAATTATTGGTAAAACCTTGAGCTGCTAAAATCAAAAAGCAATTTATATCTCCCATCAATCATCGCTGCTTTAAGGCTCTTGTTTTTTTCTGTTTATATGTATATATTTTATGTATTAGAGATGAAGAGAAGACATTTTATGTATTAGAGATGTAGAGAAGACATTTTATGTATTAGAGATGTAGAGAAGACATTTTATGTATTAGAGATGTAGAGAAGACATTTTATGTACTAGAGATGTAGAGAAGACATTTTATGTATTAGAGATGTAGAGAAGACATTTTATGTATTAGAGATGTAGAGAAGACATTTTAAGAATAATAATAATTATAGTATAAGAAAAAATATTATTAATAATAAATAAAAAAATTAATTTTTTAAATTTGAAAATAATTGGTATACATTTACATTTAACGCTTATACATTTTTAATGCTTAGCAAGACTTTGGTTAACATCAATATTAATAGTATATAGAAAACATGTATGAGATATTTCCTATATTTACATATATACCAATTTACTCAAAGTAAGTGTTCGATATAAGCAAAACTACTATTGTAAAAAAATATTTAATTTCAGAATTTAAAATAAAAATATATAAAAAATTCATAAAGTGAATAGTTTAATAGAGCACATAATTATTTAACATGTGTTAGTCCTTAAAGAGGAAAAAAGTTTTTTTTTTCAAAAATTAAATCAATATTTTGAACTATGTACTTTACTAAATTTTAATTTACTAGTAAAGAATAACTACCAAGATATAAAGTATTAGCAAATATTAGGTGTAACTTGTTGATACCAATGTTAAAGCAAGGAAAATAGTTTTAACACTCTCAGACTTGATCTAAAGTTTCTAATAAATATTTATTCATTGTTATGTTTTTGTGAGTGTCTTAAAAAAAAAAGAGTTTGGAATTAAATATATATTCAATGTTTTGACATTTAAACTATTTTTAAATAAACTCAAATTTCATTAAAAAAAAAAAAAAAAAACTGTAATAAAACATCAACAAAGAACTATAGAGCCTTAGTTTATTTTTTAAAAAGTTATTTAAATTTTATATTTTTAAATAAAAATTTTTTAAAAATAAACATTTTCAGATGGTAACTATTATTTTATAAGTTTAAATTTATTTTATTCATTTTATACTTTATAAACATTAACAGTTTAACAATATTAATTCGCTACGTAAAAAAAGATTTTGAAGATCTTATTGCTAAAAATTATAATAGTTAGGATTTCTTTATCACCACCAGAATTTCTAGAAACATTCAATATAATGTTTGGAAAGTTATTTGATCTGATTCAAATACCTACTTATTGTTACTCAATGATTATTATTATTATAATCGTACACATTAGTGTACGATGTTTTCCTTTACATAAAATTTATCTTTTTATTAATTATCTTTTTGTTTATTAATTTAATTTTCAGACAAATATCTTTTAAAACCTGAAAAATGGAGGATAAAATTAAACTATTTTGCACAAGAGAACATGTGCACACATGCAACTTCAATACCATCAAAATACACTTATGGTCAATCGACAGCATGCATCTTTGGCACCTGAAACAGTGGTAACACTGGTATTTCTAAACTGTAATTGGCACTTGTGTAACCTGGACACAAAAAGAGCATTATTTAATTCAATAATTCCACTACATAAGTGGAACTATTGAATTAAAAGTTTTGACGATTTATTATTTTTTTAACGGGTATCCCCCCATTCGTAGAATAGGTACCCAGGCAGGAATTTTTACAATTTTTGTCTGTACTACTGAGCCCTTTGTCTTTTATCAGCTAATATTATTGTTATTGGTTAATTTAATGCTCATCACACTTAATGGTTTGGCTCAAATACCACTGATCCTGCTGGCACTAAATCTCAAAACAAAAGACAATTCTAACATTCTTTCTATAATAGATGGGCCTGATCTTATTTTTTCACCCAAGAAAAAACAGAAGTTTTTACAAAGAGCTTTACCTCTACTAGGTCTCTTGAACCTTATGATTATTCACCCTGTCATCCTAGTCAGACAAGTTAACCTATTGTTAATCCAAATCACTCTGGTTTCTTTCTCTAAGGTCTCTTTTAAACTTTGGTATTGCTTGTGGTCAACATTTCAAACAAAAATAAAAAGAAAATTAAGAATAAATATAAGAGCATAAAACTAATATATTTTTCAATTTAAAAGCATCTCAATTGATAGTTCAAACTTAATTCAATTCAAAATTGTTTCAACTAATAGTTTAAAGCTAATTAATTATACCATTTATGAGGTGTGACTGTTATGTTGGCATTAGATGAGGGTTCAATACCTACTAACTGATTTTTATTTATGTTTTATTTGATTTTTCGACATTAGAAAATATGTTTCGCATTTTTAAATAATTAAGTTTTAAAGTAATTTAGCTTGGATTAAATAACTTTGAAACTTTGATTTTTTCTAAATTCTTTGTAATGAAACACTTTTAAATTTAAATTAAAACATTAATTTTATGCTTTTATTTTTTCTGGTTTATTTTTAATTTATTTGTTAAGATTTTTATTTTTTTAGTTTAGTCTTGTATTTTTTTTTTTAGTTTTCATTTCTCTTTCCAGTTTATTGTTTGTTAATTTATAATTTTAGTTTATGATTATATTTGTTTATTCAGCGCATTTTTTAAAAGCGGTAAAACATGCAAAGCATGTTTTAAATTTAAAACATGCAATGAGCTATTTATATATATATATATATATATATGTATATATATATATATATATATATATATATATCTATATATATATATATATATATATATATATATATATATATATATATATATATATATATATATATATATATATATATATATATATATATATATATATATATATATATATATATATATATATATATATATATATATATATATATATATATATATATATATAGATATATATATATATATATATATATATATATACATATATATATATATATATATATATATATATATATATATATATATATATATATATATATATATATATATATATATATATATATATATATATATATATATATATATATAAGGGCAATTCCATTTTTTCCATCAAATATTGGTATAGATGAGGAAAATTCTGTGAATAAAACTAAGAACCATGATGTAATTATTTTTTATTTAAAAATGTAACCTGATTAGGGAAAGGTATTTTAGGTGTTATTTTCTATCAAAAAAGAAATATTAAAAGCTTAACTAATTATGTTTATAGCGCCCTGTGTGGAATGGTAAAATAATAAACTTTTCCATATAACATTGCAGATAACATTAAATTAAATCTGTAAATGTTTTCTTTTTTTTTTGGTTATTTCTTTACCTGTTTTTCAACCAATGAGAATATGATAAATTACTTTTTTTACAGAAGTTTTACCATAGTTAAATCAATTTTTGTATTATATTGTGAATATTTGTATTATATAGTGAATATCAGGTAAGATGTATTTTAATGAATTATTTCTCTAACTTTAACATAAACTCAAACAATATGAACCTAAATATTTTTAGATACAAAAGGGATATATTTTTTAACTAAAGTATAAGCAAAACCAGACTTATTAAAACAACTATTGTTAACATACTTTGATATTTTAATTTTTAATATTTATGGCTATTTTTATAATTTTGGCCAATATGCTTTTAATAAACTAATTTTTATTAATAGTAGCATTATATTTTTCCATTCAAAAATGTCAAGAAAATGTTTGAGAACTCATCCTGGCACAAGAAAATATTGTACGAGATCCAATTACTTAAATTCTATTCTTTATGAGGCAATTAGTGAAGATTAAATTGGAAATAATGTCAATTGTTGAGGCTTTTAAATTTTTTGAAGTACTTGGCAGGGTGTTAGCCAGCCTGATGGCACAGCGTATAACGCACAATTCCCAATTTGTTTAAATTTCCTAAAAGGAATTACTTTCTTTACAAGAAAAAAAGCATAGCAAGTCATTCATTCAAAAATAAAATAAAAACTTTATTTTTTAACTTTTCTTTAGTTTTTTCATTTTGCTTATTACATTTTTATTCTCCTTTTTTATTTCAAACCTTTTGTTTGCAATAAAAAATTTAAACCAACAAATGCTGTTTATCTTTAGTTAGAAAAATAACAAAGATTTTAGCATAGTAATTATTCAAAAAATGAATGTGGAGGTAAATGTCATTTCGAAATTACTTTAAAAAAAAGATTAAAAAGTTATTTATAAATGTAATTAAAAATACTGTTAGTTAACTAAAGTTGCTTGTGACACATTTTAGTGTAAACATTTTAATATTAAGTTAATAAATCATTTGTGCTTATAAATGTTTTAAAGTATTTGCAATTTTTACAATTTTTTTTTTTTTTTTTTTTAATATACAAATCAAAAATTTTAATAAACAAATAAAAGAAGTTTCATTTAGTAAAACAAATTTACAAATACAAAAATCAATTTTTATTAATTTACATACTAAAGTTACAACTTAGAGAAATTTATCACTAAATATTTCCTTGTGTGGTCAA